AGATTGATTACATCACGCTCCCACAAACTCGGCATGGTAAGCGTTATGTGCTCACAATGGTAGAAGCAACTACCGGATGGCTGGAAACATATGCTGTGCCCCATGCCACTGCTCGGAACACTATTCCGGGACTTGAAAAACAAGTCCTGTGGTGGCATGGCACCCCAGATAGAATTGAGTCAGATAATGGTACTCATTTTCGAAATAATCTTATAAACACCTGGGCAAAAGAACATGGCATTGAGTGGATATCATATCCCCTATCATGCCCCGGCCTCCGGGAAAATTGAGCGGTATAATGGGCTACTAAAGACCATGCTGAGAGCAATGGGAGGTGGAACTTTTAAGCATTGGGACACACATTTAGCAAAGGCCACCTGGTTAGTCAATACTAGAGGATCTGCCAACCAGGCTGGCCCTGCGCAGTCAAACATTCTGCATATTGTAGATGGAGACAGAGTCCTGGTAGTGCACCCTAAGAACATGCTGGGTTATACCTCCTTCAGGTAAAGGTAAGCCCATACGTGGGATTACCTTTGCCCAAGGACCCGGGTGCACTTGGTGTGTAATGCAGAAGGACGGGGAAGTCTGATGTGTACCTCAAGGGGACTTAATGTTAGGCAAAAATAGCCAATAAGCTGTATTAGATTAGTCACCACACCACCCTACCAATGCTTTGTTATAGCAAACATGAACTTGGATGAAAATAGGACTGGTTCCAGCAACTGATGCCCAGCGAATGTGAATACAGACAGCATCAGATGCATCAGGCACCAGCTCCGACTGCAACAGAGACTGCATGCCATCCTCCTGCCAGGTCCAAGGACACCTCTACCCTACTGACTGAGCATTGCTCCTCCTGCCTGAAGGGACTGTTATGACAGATGGAACCTGAAGCTATGGACCAAGTCAACTCATGATATATCCTGCAGTGATGGACCATGGACTGAGAGAATGACATCTGTATGCGTATGTCTTTGACCAAGTAAGAGGATTGTAAATAACAATAATGTATTAGAAATATGGAACGTGAGCATAATGTAAAATGATATGGAATAAGGGGTGGATACTGTCCTGGTTCGGGCTGGAATAGAGTTCCTGTTTGTTTTAGTAGCTGGAGGAGTGCTGCAGCACCCTGAGACCCCAGGGGCTCCCCAGGTCCCAGTGCCCTCACCTGTGTGCGGGGGTGGGGGGAGCACAGCTGGAGGGCTGGGCCAGGATTGGCCGATAGTCCATGTCATGTGACCTTGTGCTCACCATATAAAGGCAGCAGAGGGCTGGGAGAGGCTGCCACTTCTGGGAGTGTGGCTGTGGGGCCTTGGTGTTGGGGATCACCGGCGGGAGCAGGCGGGTGTCGGTCGGTGGGTGGTGAGTAGCTGTATTGTACATTACCTGCTGATACTGCTGTCAGCGTATTATTCTGTTACTGTTATTAAACTGGTTTTTATCTCAACCCGCGAGTGTCCCTTTGCCCCTCCGATTCCCTCCCCATTCCCAAGTGGGGGGAGGGTGGGTGAGCGACTGTGTGGCGTTTAGCTGCTGACCAGGCTCAAACCACAACACCCTGCTAACCTGATTGGGTTTGGTCAAATCTTTTGAAACCTGGTTTCAGCCCAGCCAGCTACCTGGAGACCTAACAACTATTCTTTCCCAACAGTAGACTTAGGATACTCTTCTCTCTATAATGTCCTATTTCACTTTTAATCCATAATTCCAGCTATGTATTAGGGAATGTAAGAAGCAAATGATTACAGACTAACAGTAAGGCAGATGTAGGGAAAACAAGGGGTGTTGTCCTTCATACCTCACTGCAACTCTCACACCAAGGCAAGGGGAACTATAACAATGACGACCTTCCTGAATTCCTGAAAAGGATGATTGCTGACAAGCCGGCAGGGTATTTAATTTAAATTAATTTACATTTTTTTTGTTTTATATTACTCCAAACTCTTAAGCAATTTTTCACTTATGCTGTTGCTCACTGGGCAAGTGTCAAGGTAGATACTGCTCAGGTGACAGCACAGGATAGGAGAGGAGCAGCTCTAATGCAAGTCTTTTGACTGTTTCCATTTTCCTGGACAGAAAAGTGATTAATACTTAAGTAAATCACAGTTTCAATTTTTTGAAGTCTAAACTGGAAAAAAAATTGTCACTCAAATATAACATTTAAGCCTGAACTTACAAAGATTATGAAGACAAAAGGGGTTATAACTTTGTGTTTTGTTACCACTTAACTGCCTATTCTTGGGCATTAACACCTAAAACCAAATTTGGTATTTGACATGGTAAGGGGGGACTCTGAAGAGAGTTTCCTTGAAGTACTGCAGTGAGGGAAAGTGCACAAATCCATTTTAATAGGACATTTACTCATAGTTCTTGGTAACATGAAAAATACTTAGTGTCAGTGATGTCTATGAAGGAATGCGCAATGGTAGGCCTACCTAGATGGGGTATAAACCTTGTTCAATTGGTCCTGTAACATGGATCCCTTTGTGCTTCCTAATTCATGGATTTAGAAGTGATCTGCAACTTCCCTGTTACTGTGTGTGTGACAGCATGTGTGAAAGCAGTGACTCTTGCTGGGCAGGAACAGGAAACAGCTGATTCACACTGTAGGGGATCTGCAAATTGGTATCAGAGTGGGTTTTTATAGCTTTTTAAACTGACTGCCATGTGAGAGCAGTTAGGTCTAACTTGGAAGGAAAAAGATAAAAAGGGGAAATGGTATTTACAACTGTCATCAAAACTTTGATACAATTCAGTGTGAAACTGCAGGCTGAGTGGAATTAAGTAAGGCTACAAAACAACACTCAAAAATCCAACAGAGCAATCTGTATCTTCAGCCACCTTAGGCTTTCTCCGTCTATCCTTTGAATGTGCTGCCTTGAAGAGCTGACATAACATTAGAGTGTCTCACCTCAAACAACACTGCATGCCCAACTGGTACATCCAGGTGGGCTCACAGCTGTGCCGTGCTTCGATGCTTCTCTCATCCCCACAGATTCACCAGGCTATAATTGATGGGGACTAGATCTCCAGTATCTTACCTGCTCTAAGTAAGCAGAAAATTTTAAATTCCTCATGCAGAACATGAAGAACTCAGCCCTACTGTCGTGGTTTGAGCCTGGTCGGCAGCCAAACAGCACACAGCCGCTCTCTCTCCCTTCTCTTCTGGCAATAAGAAGGGACAGGGAGCCAGGTTTGGGGTTTGAGATAGGAGTGGGATGGGGAAAAAAAACCCCTTTATGGTCATGGGCAAAAGGCAGACTCGTTAGGGGAAGGAAAAAAAGAACATACATTTATTACAGACATTAAAAACAAGTAACAGAGTAGGACACTGAGAAGCATTGCCACATCTTGAGAACACCTTCCCCCCACCTCTCCCTTCTTCCCAGGCTCAGCTCTGCTCCCGATATCTCTACCTCCTCCCCCAGTGGCGCAGGGGCATGGAAGGGGGGTGCAGTCAGTGCTGCTGCTTTCTCCATCTTCAGTGGGGGGAGCTTCTGGAACTTGTGATCCCCCGCTCACAGGAGCCTGTCCTCCACAAACTTTCTCTGACATGAGTTCCTCCCATGGGCCGCAGCATTCCCCACACTGCTCCATCGTGGGCCACCAACTTTCTCCAACTGGATTCTCTCCCACGGCTGCAGCCCTTCCCGAGCTGCTCCGGCGTGGGACACCCCCGCATGCTGCAATCCTCCCAGCGCTGAATTACAGCTGCGGGGCTGCCTTTTCCCACAAGACCCCGGCCTTCTTCGGGCACAATCACCTTGATCAACCAGGCGAAACACAGGCCATAAATCACCGTCTGCTCCACTGTAGATCTTCATGGGTGGCGGGGGGGGGCTGCCCTGCCATCTCACCACAGGATACAGGGGGGTCTCTGCTCCGGCACACCTCCCCCCTCCTTTCTTCCTCCGTTCCTCCACTGACCTTGGTGTTCATGCAGCTGCAGCAACTCCTCCTCACAAGTCTGACTGCACCTCACCACGTCCCTTCTTAAATATGTTATCGCAGAGGCGCAGCTGATTGGCTCAGTTTTTGAGCAGAGGTGGAGCTGACTTGGAGCTGGGGAAGCTTCAAGAAGCTTCTCATAGGGGGCCACCCCTATAGCCCCCTCCCCTGCCACCAAAAAAAAACCCACCACTCACTCAACTCGGGACACCTACTTTGCTGCAGCTAAAGCAAACAGTACATACACGTCAAGCCAAGGTGTTTCACCACTACTCTCATTCAACAGCTATAGTATGTGTCCAGCAAGAGCTGCTTTTGGGTGGGGGAACAGCAGCTTGGTCCTACCACAGGTACCCTCAGTCACCTCTGCTGCTTCAGGCAGTGTCAGTCAGGCAATACAGGCCAAGGCTGAGCCTTCAAGGGGACTGTGCACAGTGGGACATGCTTCTGCCCCAGGGAGGAGGAAGGATCTGAGGAAGCAGAATCCAACCCAGATGAGAAGTTTGTAGAGCTCTAAACACAAAACCCAAACAAGACTATAGCCGGTTCAAGAAAATACTCAATGCTTCACCTCAATAAAAAGATCACTTCCCTTTTAGTATGGGAGCAAGGGAAAAAATAAAGCCTTGAGGACCTACAAAAGATATCTCAGCTATTGCGAAGACACACATCAAGAGCAGTGTTCTGTAAGTGGTGTTCCATAGACAGTGATTATAAATTTCTAAGTACTGACATTTCAATATATCTTCATTAAGTCTCCTCTCATTAATGGCATGCACCTTTAAAAAGAAACTCCTACCTTCAGAATATTTCATGTACAATGAATTAATATAGGTATTATCTAAAACTGTAAAGAAGTAAACACCCTAACATAAAACTACAAATATGTAGCTGATATCTAGGTAAAAATTACCTCTGACTTTTAGACACAATGTATAAACGGCTCATTACTTTTTAAACAAAAACTGCAACACCCAACCTGGGACTGCTGAGCTATCACAAATAGGTTTTCCCATGCTTCACCACCAAATATATACCCCACCAACCTGCAGGTGCTGTTGACTGAGTCCTCAGGACAGTGGTGGTGGCACTGACAGGACAGCTTCTTCTGCGGAGGGGCAGGTGCTGTGCTCTCACCATCTTCTTTTCTGGTCTCCATGCTCAACTTGCCAGAACTTCGCAAGGGCATGTTGTCTAGAAAATTGGCTATTAATATAAGGGAGGGGGTGGGGGGGGGAAAGAAACAGTTCTAGGGTGAATTGCAAGACTTGGAATAAAGGCTTTAACATATTTCTATCCATCAAAATTTGAGGAAGTTATTTGAGCTGCGTATTCACTACAGAGCAGTTTTCTGTAGAAGCCTCTGAAATGGTCACTGTGTTTGAGGCTTATTGGGCCTCAGTGGCATTAAATCAAAGGTGCTGATGTTGAAGCTCTGCTGCTGCCAAAACGATATGTTGTGCTTTTCAGACTGCAGGGTACAGCTTTTCTGCTATTGCATTACACAGGTCAAATCCCTGGTTACATCTTTGTGCTTTCTTTGTCTCTATACTTGGCACATATCTATATCCACTGAACCCCATAAAAATGAGTGGGATTTATGGTACTCCAGGCAGAGCAAAACATGGGCATACAATTTAACAAAGATTTAACAGAAAGTGATGTTCTTCCAGGTTCAACGGCACTTTCTGTCACTGAATTGCATAAGTACTACTTGGAAAACAAGGAAAAACAGTTAATTTCTATTAAAAAAAATCTATAAACAAAGTAAAAGGCAAGAATGTGTTACAGAATGAACAATTCTGAAATACACAGACGTGATTACTTCTAAAAATATTGGAGTACTGAATCTCCATGGAGCTTGTAGAGTACAGCTAGAGATGTTGGTGATGGGCTAGGACCTGTTTAAGCAACACCACCACCCCCCACACCCCTCAGCTCTACTCGTAAATATCAGCTTTCACTCCTTGTGAATATTTTAAACCTCAAAGACAAAAATGAGATCAGCATGAAAAGCTTCAACTGGCAGTTTCTCACTTTCCTTTTGCTTCTCTGTAAGTAATCTTACTAAAGGGTCATTTACAAACAGCTGTCTCCAACAGAGTAGTTGAAGAGCAGGCTTGAAAATCTTGATTTACTGTTGTCTTTAGAAACAATTGATATTATTATTTTGATTGGCTCCTGATCTGCTGCTTTGAATCTAACTAAAATCCTTCCCAAAGCTCCATTATCAGGACTGATATATTGCGGACAGAAAACTGTATCCTCTTCAGCTCAATCCAGAGAGATGGAGTGGGCAAACAGGCAGAGGTGATGGGAACTAGTAGCTACACTTCAGGGCCTGGATGGCAAGCAACAACTGAGGCACAAACAGGCTGAAAGGTCCTGAAGCAGTGAAAGGCTGGAGGAAGAGCAGGGCTGTTAGCCCTTAGGCAGGACTAACAAAGCCCATGCTGTGACCCTGGGTGAGTGGGAGCAGGCAGTGCCCTGAGCACGCGTGTCGTGCCTCCCAGCTGCACCCCCCTGCTCTCCTGTGCTGGCTCTGGCAGGGGAGGCTGGCAAATGGACAGGCACTGGCAATAATTGGCAGACAAGCTTTAGTTTCCCTCAGTGTAAAAAGAGATGTTCAAGCTTGGCCTTAGCAAGCTAGGAAAAAGCTGAAACTTGTTAGCTCTGGGAAAAGCAGGGCTTTGCACTTAGGAACACCTCCCTCAGCCTTTCTGAACATCCCTTCCACTCCTTGCATATGAAGTGTATTAATAATATTTAGGTGACATACATAAGACAACCATTCACCATATCAGACTATAACACCTATGAAATACAAAACTCATACAGCTTAATCTTTGCTCAGTACCTATGTATTCCACTGAAACCAACTGGATTTTGATGAGCTCACTTCTTTAAGTCAAACCAGAAAAACAGTTACAAAATATATGCAAACTCTGGGCTTGTAATACTTGTGCCCAGCATCAAGATATTAATTGGATTCATGATGCACCTGGACGTCAGTCCTATACGGTTTTTATTAACATTTGGCAAAATTAGAACTAAAATAATTAGTTCACTCAAGATGCATTATGTATCTGTGTACTCACAGCTGTACCTGTAGATGCAGTAGGTGCTTAAATTAAGAAAAAAATGCACTGTTGTTTGTTTCTTATAATGTAATTTGATACCTCAAAATGCAGCCTGTGTACAACAAATTACTATCAACAGATGTTTGCTCCATGGGTCAAAGGATTAGAGATTAAGTAAATTCTCTTTCAATCAGCAATTTTTGTCTCTGTTACTTTGTTGAATATTCCCCATTCAATGGTAACAATTAATATTCCTGTCAAGGATTTTCAGACTTCAAGCTCCTGATACAACAAAGTGAACTTCTAGTTCATGAGGCAACTGAGTGAAACAGTTCGCTCTGTGTACTGTTTCCATGGCTCTTTCTACAAGCCATCTGCAGTTTCAGCAGGGATCTTTCCTCAGCAAGGAGTGCAAAAACAAAATCATTTTTTACCTAGCACAAAAAAATGAAGGTTTAATTAAACACTTAAAAGTGCCTGAAGATGTTAAATTTAGACAACTAAGTACCTTCTTCATAACACATACAAATGTAGCCCATTCCTTTTAACAAATGTGCAAGGCAGTCATCCTCCAATGCAATCTGTGCCCATCACTCATCAGGGATTGGATCATGAACAGCTTCTGCAGAACTTGCCATTAACAATAGCACCTTACATCCTATACCTGGTTGTAGCCTTAGTTAAAATAAGACAGGTAGGAGCTGCTGAATTAGAATCAGAAATCTGAAGTACCAGCAAAGTTTCACAAGTGGCTATTTAGAGACATAGTTTCTTTTTCAGAAAACTTAGGACAAATAGGCTGGCATTCAAATTTAAAATTTCCAAGAGTTTGAAGTAGGGATGTAGCCTAGGATTTTGCTTTCAGCTAATTTCCAGGTTCAAAACTAGTATAAAATCATTGCAGTTTAGTGTCAAATACATTAAATCAAATACAATTAAAAGAGGTAGGAATAAGACACCTTCAATGAGGCTCATTGCTACCTTCTTAAAAAAAAACAAAACAAACAAAAAAATAACAAACACAAACAAAAAAAAAATCAAAACCAAACCCAGAAACTCTTCTCCCTCCACTCTCTTGTTCCTTTCATGCCTTAAATTCCTGGCTGCTAGCTAAAAAGATGGGCAGAGTTTTGTCTTTAAAGTTCAGATGTCTCGCGCAGCAGATGACCACGGAACATTCAAGAATTCTTCTTCTCCCACTTGGAGTTGAGTTTCAACACTTTTTTTGTCTTCTACATCTGCTTGACTTTGGAGCAGACAGATTTTCAGCTGTCCCTGCCCCAAAATGCAACACGTAGGATGAAACCCACAAGAGCTTTCCAGTTTGGCAACAAGTTCCTCCTGATTTCAGGTGTGAAATGCAGTTTGGGATGGTGAACAGCCCACTCCTCCTGCATTTGCTGCTGTGCTGTTACAAGCACGTGCTGGTCATGCAGCCCTGGCTCTGTCTAGGGATTAGAAGCCCTTTGGGTTTTCAAAGCTCTCCTAAGGAGTTAGGTCCAAGTGCCCTGAAAGCAAGGGATTTCAGGCTATTTAACTTTGTCTGCTTCTCTGCTGTGGCCTATTCTGTTGCAGTCTGCTTATGGCCAGCTTCCCTGATGAACTGAGTACAGCTTGGGACAACTGTAGAAAAACAGTGGCATCAGAAATAAGGTTATTGTGGTCTGCTGAGAAACTTACTGACTGCATCAGGGAATTAACCAACACAGTTGAGAGCCATCAGACTGGTATCTATTAATCAAATTTAGTTGCTTTTTCTCAGCTTATCCCTCTTTGTTCACTAAAGTTCATCAGCATGTACAAAGCACTTTCCACCAGAAGGATGGGCAGGCAGGCACCTGGGCTTTTACGTCTCTTTGGAGTACTGCTCCTGAGAAATATTTTCCTTTCTAGGACTGGGACTACTCCAAATTGTGATGTGACGGCCTTTGTTATGAATCTCTACCTGGGAATGGGAACTGTGTGCTCAGAAGCAGCATGCTACTGTTGTTGTTTTCCAAATGTGTTAGTGTGTGTCTCTCTCCATGCTTTGCTTCACCCACCTGAGTTCCTTTACAGAAAGGCGTATCTACAAAGATCTTGAAGCCAGGAGAAGGAAAATGAGGAAAATAGTGCTGTAAAATGAAAGCATTACCCCGGATGACCATGAGAATGACTAATGTCTAGTCTAAACCCCTACTAACCTCCATGCCAACAAATAATCCTTCTTGGATATATTCTTCCATTTTGCTTCCCATCTCTCCCAGACTTCATGGTAACCTATGAGCATTAAGCTTTTGTATCTAAATACTAACTTTCTCATGTGGCAAATCCCTTCATGGTTTTTCAGGTTTTTTTCCTATCATTTTTTTTTAAATAATAGAGAAGTGATCACAGATCCCCACCCCACAATCACAGCGAAGTAACCACCAGGATGAATTACATCTTGGTTTTAAATAATGCTGTTTAATGTCGGTTCTGACAGGTCTGTAGACAGTGGTATCTTGCACACAGAAGGAAAATAGCCTATTTAAGCTTTGCAATTGACTCATGTAGGTGTAAAAAAAAAATTTGATCTGCACGGTCCATCTCTTAGTGTACATTCAGTCTTCAAGCTCTCTGCCATGGCTGCCAATAAGTACTCCAGCCCCTGCCAACTGTAGCCATAGTTATGCGATTTGGACAGGAATTTCTCCACTAGAATCTGGATAAAGCCCAACAACTCATTTCACACCGGCCCACAGCCATCAGATGGTAATGACTTTTGGGCACTGCTCTGATTCAACAAGTCCGGTAATGTAGGAGGTGAAAAGCTCTGTATTCTGTTACTCTGTATTCTGTAGTCCAAATCTTAAGCCATCCTGTTCCCAGAGGATGAATAATTAGCAATAGTTATCTTAACAGACTGATTTCTGTGCTACGGCTATGTGATTTATGTGCTGTCTATGCAGTGAAAAAGCAGATCTTCCAGGACCTTGCATGGGTTTGTCAGGAGTAAAAAGCGGACTTGCTCCTTCCCAAAACAGATGTTAAGGGCTGCAAACAAGTCTGCTCAGAAAGAAAAACCCGAGCATTGTGCTCACTTCTCTTTCTACACAGGGTATTTGAAGCCTCAGATTAATGCAGTACCACCCATTCACATTTTCC